TATTCGGAGTGATTTATTAGGAAATTTCCAGTGAAATGAAAACATAGAAACATAACCAAAATCTTTCTCTCTTTCACTGTTGCTGACTAAATGCTAAATTGAGTATTCACCCCATATGTTTTTGATGTGCATAAATATTGCATTTGACTATTTACAGTGGTGTACATTGTGGGACAGATATATTTTGACAATATGAAATTCACTGGTGACCTACAGTCTTACTTATGCCAAGATTCTGTCTTCGACATATCTTTCCTAAACAGTTCCAAAATGGTCTTGCCACACAAATATCGCGAGCACTACTGTGCCTCATGCAGAATTTGCAGTAGTGTGGTTCTTGTAACTTTGTGTTTTTATCCAGACAAACTGGTCTTAACATTAAAATTTATTAAGAAAAAGCCCTTCTGCTGTTTCTTATTGCTGTTATCTTGCAGGTCATAACAGAAAAAAATTAATCGGGCCAGTCATGTAACGTGAACTGTAGCTGCTTTAATGTAGCTTATGTTACCTGTATGGGCTCTTTGTTACGGAGAACTGGTTTCAAGTCAAACTGCTGTGCTTGCTTTTGCACTGCTTCACGGATTCCAGGTGAAGTTTTGTTGCTGAAACTGCCCATTGTGAATTTTCAAAAAAAAAAAAATCTCATCTCCATATCTCCTTTTTTTTTTTTTTTTTTTTTTTTTTTTAACATGTGTTTTGGGAAAGAAGATGGGAGTTGTATAGAACAATAATTAAATAACACTACTTTTTTTTTTTACTGTTTTAAATTTTAATAGATTGCCTCATTGTGCTGCGTGTACTTCTCTGGGATAGAAACTTGACAGTAAGCATGTAAGTTAGCTGTTCCTAAGCTGACGAGCTCTGTGCCGGTGCCTTCCATCTGTGCTACAGTAATACAGCACGCAGCAGTTTTTACTCTTCAAGTGGGAAAAATTCTGTGTGTGTGTGTGTGTCCTTTCAGCACAATTTGTGTAGACCTTGGGTCTTGAATTGGAGGGGTTGGAGGCTTAATTGTATCCCCTTCGTGGCGTTGAGTATCTAACGCTGTTAGTAGTTCAACAGGTCTCCATCCAAGAATTTTCAGATGGCTCTGCAGCTCTCTTGCATACTGAAAGAAGTTAACTGCAGCGTGGCTTTGGCTGGTTATACACAGATTGTTTTATATTGATTAAAAAATAGTGAAAATTCCGCATTCTTTCTCTGACTCCCCCTTCTCCCCTGGGTAAAGCCTGGTTTTGTTTCTGAGGGCCCTCTGGAATCTGTCACTATTTCCTCTCTGAGTAAGGTGCCAGCTTCAACACCCCTTGCAGTATTCCCGTCACTTTTCAGCTGAGTGCATTAACTCTTCCCTTGCTTTCCCCTAAGCTTGAGCAAAGGTCTTTGTAAAAATCTGCGCAGCAGCTCCACCGTTCTTCCGAGCACTCTGGAAAAAGCCCTTTACCAGGCGCGAATGACGGGCTCGGTGATTCCACTGCCCGGCGCGCAGCTCAGCGTCGTTTTGTTTCCTCACACTCCACTGTCTGCCCGTTTGTTTATCTCTAGATGGGAAATTATTTGTGGCCAGGTTAAGTGTTCTTGTTCTGATTGCCTTGTGAGCGGGCACTGCACAGCCTGAGCAGTGAGTGGGGTTCTTGGCAGATAATAAAATCACACATAATTGGCAGTACAGATAATAAAAACATTAAACAGGGAACTGAATCCTGGTAGTAGGGTAAGGTTGCAAAACTGTAATGAAGATGCAAAAAAAGGGAAGCTGCCTTTGGAAACAGGAAGCTTTTATAAAGCATAATAATAAGTTAGACCTCTCTTATTTCTGTTCTTAATTAGATTAACAGGAGCTCAAGAATTGCATAGTTAACAGCGATTTTAAGTCTATGATTATTCCAGACAAGAAGCTGTGCTTCTGGTTTTAAGTGCTTCATTTAGAAGTCACCATAAATTGAGAAACCGTATGCTAAAATCAAAGTTACTCAATAATAGAAATTTTTAGAAGATGGTATTTCCAAAGGTCAAATACTGTTCAAAAATAAACAGTGTTTTGAATTCAATATAACCTGAGGGATGGAGCAATGGCAAAATTATTTCACGACTTTGCACATCAGTTTTGCTGCTTCTACGCTTGCCTGCTGCTATCTCTTACTTGTTGAGCAGTGGCCAATGCCAAAGCTGCATACGTGCTTTCCGCCCCCCCCCCCCGGAATAAGAAAAAGTCAAATGTCTCTGGAGTTGTCTGATGTCGATGGCGGGGAGGCATTTAACCTCACTTGTCTGATTTATGTTGAACCACTTGGCTTTCAAAGACTGTGTTTCTGTTCCTGGGAAATTCCACCAGTTTCACCTAGAGAGAACAAACTTCCTTGTGGCTTACAGAAACAGAGAACACTGCCAAGCTCATTATTTACTTACGTTGAATAGAGTTTATATATTAGAACCTAAATAGTGAAGATCTGCACTGGTGTGCCATGTTCGGCAGGTGTAAAGTCCATACACACCTGGTGAAGTTGGGTAAGGAATGTGCTGAATCTAAAAATCCTGCTGCATTAGAATGGTGTAAACGTGGGGTATTCTGCCTACTTGTGACCAAGAGTCATGGGAGCACAAAGCAGCAGCAGAATTTTGATTGTGAGATCGGGCAGTGCCACTGTAAAGCAACGGTTATGTCTGTGGATATACTTTTAAATGCTCTTTATAAAAGAGAGGAATTGGTAAAATGCAAGGAGGGGGGGGAAGTATTCTGTGTCTAGGAAGAATCTGAGTTACTATTTTCACTGAAGCTACGCTTGTGTATTTACTACCTGTGTTTTCAGAGAGTTTGATCAGTTTTTTCTTAACGTAGATTGTTTAGGCCTTACTACCTTTGTAACTTTGAGCCAAGATTCTCAACCTGATCTATCCAAGTCCCTCTCACTGTGCCTTTCTGTAGTATCTCCCTCTTCCTCCTTGGAAGGGGATTGTTGACCTGACAGCCACATTAATTACCTGTGTGACCCTGAGTTTCCTTCAACAACCTTTCATTAACCTGCCTGTAACTAACAACTGTTGTCACCCCACCAACCCTTGAAACTGAAGCTGAAGCCTCCCTCCCTCACCTGCCTCTTGCTCTTAATATCACTCACAAACTATCTCAGAGGTTATTCCAGTCTTTATTATTTGTTATGCTGTCTTTGTTGTCTCCCTTTTATTTCCATGGATTAGAGTAATCTTTAAGCAGATGTTCCAGTGTAATTCACACACACTCCCCCCCCCCCCCAGCCCCTCGGTTGGGGTCCAAGGAGCGAGGAGAGCACTGGCCATGCTGCTCTTTCTCCAAAGAGTAAGCAGCATATCCCCCAGAGGTTTTTGTTACTTGATGCAGTTTATCTTAATTTTTGTTACATGTAAGCATTTGTATAAAGATTACTTCAGCCACGCCTTTATAGATCACACATGTTCTGGAGCAGCACGTGACTAATTGGCCTCCTATTTTCCAGTTATTTTTCACTCTTATATGACAGTTTTAGCCTTTTGCTTTTTCCATCAGTTTGCAAGTCATATAAAATAGCATGTGTCAAGAATAAGCTTTTCATTAAATACACACAGAAAACCTTTCTACCTACATGCTGCTGTTTCGCATAATATGGTCTGGCAGCCTTATGCATGATTTTACTGCGCTGGACCAAACAGCTGGAAGAATTGAGGGTATGGCATTTACTTTTTGAGCATTTTTAGGATAGTTCCAGGCACGTCCAAAGACTGCAGATGGGAGCTAATATGAAACTTGCTGTTTACCTGTTATCCCTAGATGCCTTTGAAAAGCTGCCTTGCAAAATTGATGTAACGAAATTCCCTTCTGTGAACCCCTGCAGGATGTTCGCTACGGGGATTTTTTGCTCTAGTGTTATTGTTTTAAAGCATCTACCCGTTTAAAGAACAGGTGTATCATGATGTGTCAGAAGTTTGCTGTTTTCATGTAGTTGCAGGAATCTGCAAAGTATTTTGAGGCTATTACTTGGCCGGTAGCCTGCTCGGAGTATTTATGTTTTATGAAAGACTGAGCACTTGCGGAAAGGTGTGTGTGTGTTGTTTCCCAGAGACCGGCGTTTCGTCTTTGTCCTGCACAGCTTCACGTGGTCATCAGAGGGGACGCAATGTGGATTGAGAAAGGCTGGCTTCAGGCAAGACTGTGGTCTTTTTCAGTAACTTGGGCCTGTTTCAAGCATGCGGTACCTAAGTTTCTTTGGAGGAACGGCTTGTGGAGGCTTTCCGGAGCAAATAATTGTATTACCGAGTTCAGTGGGGTGCTCGGGCTCCTTACAGCCCGTGTCAGGAGCGGCGTTGCTTTGTCATCGGGAGGTGCCGGTGTCTTTACGGAGGATGCCATAGGGGTTACCTGCGGTGCTGTTTTTATCTGCAGCAGAAGGAGCAGAGGTCTTGCGGTCCACCAACGCTTTGGGGCAGAGAGGGCCTTCTGGCTCCTCGGCAGGCGTCGGGCCACGTTTGGAGCCGTCCCGCGCTCCGCGGGCCTCAGTTTCCAGGACGCTGGATGCTGAAGCGGCAGCCACGGGGAGTAACGGGAATTTTTGGGAATAGGTTGCCCCGTTTGGCTGCTCAGCCGGCCTGGAAAAGGCGGTACGACGGAGCCGAAGGCAGGACGGACGTGCCCAGCTACTGCCGCTACCCCGGGCCCGGCCAGCACCGCACGCAGCACCCCCCTTTCCCCCGGCCGGGCCCCCGTTAAGCACCGGGGCGGCCTCCGCCGCGCTCCGCCCCGCCCGCCGCCTCCCGCGTTGCCCGGGCAGCGGGGGCCGCGGGCAGGGAGTGGGGCAGGTGAGGCGGCCGGGCCTGCCCCGGCCCCGGGCAGCGAGGGCGGGGGGCGGCTCGGCCGGGGGCTGCGGTGGGGTGAGGCGGGGTGGGGGGTGTTGCCCGGGGCCGTGGGCCGGCGCTGGGGCTCCCGGGCCTGGCGGCCTGGCTCCCGGGGCCTGGCGCTGGGGTTCCCGGGCCTGGCGCTGGGGTTCCCGGGGCCTGGCGTTGGGGCTCCGGGGCCTGGCGCTGGGGCTCCCGGGGCCTGGCGCTGGGGCTCCCGGGGCCTGGCGCTGGGGCTCCCGGGCCTGGCGCTGGGGCTCCCGGGGCCTGGCGTTGGGGCTCCCGGGCCTGGCGTTGGGGCTCCGGGGCCTGGCGCTGGGGCTCCCGGGGCCTGGCGCTGGGGCTCCCGGGGCTCCTCACAACCGGGGTGTCCTGGGCCTCGTCCGGCCCGGCCCGGCCCCTGCCAGCTTTGTAACGGCAACGCCTGCGGCTGCGTGAGGGGGAAAGGAGAAAACACGGGCAGCAAGGAGGCGAGAGGGATTAGATGATCTTTGTGTTCAGCGAGCGAGTAAGCCGTGCTAGGGCTGCCGGTGGTGGGTATTGCCGCGGGTTGATGGCGAAGAGCCGCGGAGGCTGGCAGCCGGGCCTGCTTCTTCGATTGCTGGCGCGGTGCGTACGTGTTCAGGAGGTTCCCTCTGAGCATCGGGGAACACTTTTTCACTGTGAGGGTGACCGAGCGCCGGCACAGGTCGCCCAGAGGGGCTGTGGAGGCTCCAGCCTCGGAGATTCTCAAAAGTCACCTGGACGTGGTTTATGGTCAACCTGCTTGTGGTGGCCCTGCTTGAGCAAGGGCTTAGACCAGATGATCTCCAGAGGTTCCTGCCAACCTCAGCCCTTCTGGGAGGCTGTGATTAATGGCTTACTATAGAAAATCAGATCTCACGCTTTTTTTTTTTTTCCTACTTTTCTGATTAGTCTTTTATTTGACTGCTTTCCAAGGGCACGTGCACACGCACGTGTATTCCTTTCTTGAAGTTTTGCTGTTCTCTAGCTTACCCTGAAACCCCAACCTTTTTGCCTTTGGCTTCAGTCCCTTTGCTAGAGCTGCATTTTTGAGTCATTACTGGAAGTGTGTGACTAATGTAATAATTAAATGCACACTGTGAAGTCTGTCCCCTATGCAAATTTACTGCATTGGAGTAATGAAGACACTGTACCCCTCCAGAAACGCAGTCCGAAGTATGGTTTGATCTTCAAAGGAGCCGAGCCTTGAGTCACAGCAGTCCCATTGCTCCATCGCTGACTTTCAATTTTTTTCCAATACAGGTAAAATCACATGATAGGGGGAGAAAGCCACTTGCTAGATACTCTTATTTTCATTTTAAAAAATAAAAAAATCTAAAGACATAAAAGATGCCGTTACATTGATTCCTTTCTTTATGCCGTCGCTTTTACTGCTCTTCCCTTCTGCAAATAGCTGACACGTTTTCAGCTCTTTTTGCTAAATCAACTGAAGTAGGCTCTAGTTTGTCCTGGAAATGATGAGGAGAGTGCCCAGATCTCCCACCAAACGTGCTCCATTGCTATAATGGGGGAAGGACCATACAATCACCTATGGCTGTCCCTTCTTTTGGATCCTGGGGAACAGGATTCCTTGCAACAAAGAAGTTACGTCCTGAATGAGACAAACCTATCTGTAGACCTGTATGGGCAAAGTGCAATGTGTAATTGCAGCACATGTAAATGTTTTGGTCATCACTGTGATTTTTTTAATGGAAAGTCGGCCAGCGGTACAAATTAGTAACTTTTTGCTACAGCGTTTTTTTGAATATGTGAACACAATAGAAACTTGGTAATCTGCACACTTCAGCGTTTGTACAAAATGACAAGACTCTCCTTGTTTTGCAATAGTGAGTTGTCAATATAGCTTGCTTCCACATGGGCATGTGTGGTGTGACTTGTCTGCACTACCTGTTTTATAAGTTCATATTGTGGTACGTTTGAGGAGAAAAATGAGTTTAAAACTATCTGAAGATACCTGTTAAATTAGTAGTTCTCCTTACCTGGAGCTGTGGTTGGCGTCTGAGCTCCGGTCTTTGGTGTTGCCATCAAGTTTCAGTTTTTTAAAAGACGTGCAGTGCTCATCTGTTTACCATTCGGAGTCGGGGAGCTTTCCAGTAGCCCCAGCTGTCGGGTAGGACAGGAGGGAACTAGGCTACAAGCACTAGGGCCCTCATGTGCACGTGCAGTTTTTCATTCACATTCTGCAGCTGTGAACTGCTGTTCTCATCTTATTTCTTTCAGGCCTTTGTAACTGAGCGCAAACAGACCATGCCTCTTCCAGAAACCATGTTCTGTGCTCAGCAGATCAAAATCCCCCCCGAGCTACCTGATATTCTGAAGCAATTTACTAAAGCTGCTATTAGGACTCAGCCTCGTGATGTTTTGCGGTGGTCAGCTGCGTAAGTATGATGTTCACGTAATGATGTAGTGCCACAAAATAACCTCACGGCTGCTGTTTACTGTACAGTGGAGCTGGTTTTGAACATTAAACCTGCACATTGCATACGTGCTTCTGTGCATTAATGGAGCATGTGAGCCTTTTTAAAATAGTGTAGTAATTGATTTATTTTCTGTTTCAGTGAGGTTTAGGACTGGCATATTTCTGGGATAGTTTGATTCCCATACAGAAAAGTGCGTATTTTGTTGTTGTTGTTATTAATTTCTCTGTCCCGAAGACGAAACCTTTTTTGATTTTTTTATTTCCTCCTCTGATGTGAGACTGAATTCTTGGAATTTAAAGGAAACCTAGAAAGTGGTTTTCTACTTCTTACGCTCGCTTAGGTTCCTTTTTTTTTTTTGTTTCCGGGAAAAAAAAATTAAGGAGTGTCCTTGAATGTTATAGAAATAGGAAAAGAGCCTGAAAAGTTGCAACTTGGAGGTGATAGTCTGTGTAATAAATCTCTCACCGTAAAGTTGATTTAAGTTGTTTAAATGTATCTTCTTTAACTTCTTTTTTTCTCTTACCTCACCCGCTCGCTATCATTTCTTGCTGTCCTGCAGTTTATGCGGACAAGCTCTTGGAAGGGTGTCTGTGAGTTGGCAGGATTGAAATTTGTCCGTGCTGTGGGCATGAGGCGGGGAAGGCTGTTCCCAGAGCTAGGCTGAAGTCTAGTGCTTGTCCCAGTGAATAATCGGATGGGGAAGCAGACCTGGCTGAAGAATGGCCCGTGTGTTCGGCAAACACACGCACTGCGCACCTGCGGTCACCCTCCTTCAGTTCTGCAGTGCTGCTTGCTGTGCGTTTTGGCACAGCGTGGGGTGGCCTGGGCACGAACATGGGTGGCCAGCTCAGGTGAGGGAGGGCGAGTGGAGAAACCTTTAAGTTTAGACCTGCTATTGACTGGGTGAAAACGAAAGGGGCTTCTGCACGGTTCGGCTTGCTGGCCAGCAGTGGCAGAGCTGGTTGCTCTTAAGGTGACGGTAAACTTGTAATTAAAAGGATGTGCATCTAATTCCCTTTCTGCTCTGGTCTTAAATTTTATTTTGGAGCGGACAGAAGCAGCAGAAACGCTGATGAGGGAGTCGGAGCATAAATAGCCAGTCGTGCTTTTCAGGCAGTGTGCGAGGGGAGACAGGATCAGCCCCGACGGTGCTCGTCAGTCACGTGGGAGAAGCCTGCGCTTCGGTTTGCAAGCCCACTCCGAGGTTAATAAATCACGCTGCGTTTGCCAAGAAGGGCTGAGTATATCATGCACGAGTAGGTTCGGTACCTTAGGAATTATCAGAACGTGTGTGTAAAGCCTAAAGGCTGGCTCCCACGAAACAAGAGAGGCGGTATCTGTGCGGGGCGAGGTGGGCGCTGTGCAGGGGGGCGGCTTGCCGAGCGCTGCCGCTCCGGCGCGGGAGCGTGGGGGTTCATTCTCTGGACTGGAATTACTTCTGGGCAGCTTGTAACGGCCGTGAGCATTGAAGTGTGTTGCTCTTCCCGTTCACTTAGGTATTTTTCAGCATTGTCAAAAGGCGAGCCTCTTCCTGTGAAGGAAAGGATTGAAATGCCTTTACCGACAGAGAAAACAGATGCTGGTTTGACCCCAGGACTCCTTAAAATCTTGCACAAGCAGGTACAAACCAGCCTTTGTCGTAATGCACAGTGCCCTCCAGAAATGCTGATGTGTTGGGGATGGTTGAGGAGACTGTCAAGTATTTTGGGGAAGGACTGTGTTCTTTGTTTCATTCCGGTTTTCAAAGTTCTTACTGTGGTGCCGTGATTTTGTTTAAAGCTGTCTCCCAAAGGCATGGTGAGTGTTGCAGAACTGAAGGAGAGATGGCAGCACTTGTGCTTGCCAGAGGAGCAGCTGAAAGCTATCCTGCAGCTGGACGACTTTGGTGAGGAGGTGGAGTGGATGAAGGTTCTGGCACTCGGGTGCAGCGTGCTCGGCGGGGTACGTTCACGGTGGGAGCCCTTGCGTCCAAATGCACACGGTCGTATATGATGAAATAAGAGGTAGAGCATAGAACAATCAATGCAGATGGATTTAGGAATGCTGATTGCTTTTGCAACACCTGGCAAGGTGACTTGTGTGTTTACTTCTGTTCCCCATCAGCTTTTGGTCAGGGGAGCTTAAGCAGAAGGAGGGGTACGTCCTCCGTTTGCTGGGATGGTCCGCAGGGAGTCTGGCCCGTGAGGGAGAGGGGCGTAGAGGAATGATGCTCGTGACATCAGTGCAAGTGCCTGTGGTGGGGAACTAGGGAGAGAAATTAAAACATGGGGCTTCAACTGATTTGTGTAGTCAGCTGAATTTTCACAGAAGCTGTTGTTACTAAGTCTACGTTTAATTCTTTGAATGTCAGTAATAAAACCTCAACGGAACAGTTCAACAGAATGACAGATTATGAAATGCACTAAGCTGATGCTCTTAATATTTTTAATGACTTCTGCAGTAGGGAAGAAGGGGTATAGAAAAGGAAATACATGGTAAATAATATTTTGAGAATGTTGCAATATCTGGAAGCCCTGAATGTTAACCTGGCCTTCACTTTAACTGTGTATTTCTTGATTTCACTCCCCTTCCCAACATGATTTTGTAGTTTGGGTTCTTCATTTAAAAAAAAAAGTAACAGAAGGGTTACTTATTTAAAAAAAAAAAATAAAAACCAGAGTCACAGGAATATCATTCTGATGAACCTAATTTTAGACTAGCCAGTCTAAATTTACTTCATCTATCCATCCTTTCAGATATTAAGTGAATTACTTGATTTCTGCTCTACATATTGAGACCTAAACTTAAGTTTCCTAAACCGGAGAGGAGGATGCACATGAGAAATTCACGTTCATTTTCCTGCAGCTGTAGATTGTGTTTGCAGTTGGATAGGGTCATGGGTAACACGCAGGAGTAGGCAGGTATGAGCTGCTTAATAACACCGGTCATCTGAAGTTATCTTTCTGTAAAGCACTGATATATTTTTGCACCCTAGGAGAAACGACCCTGCAGGTAGCCTTTCAAAAGTGGCGAAATCAATGTGAATAACTTTGCTGTGCTGTGAGAGCAAGTGGGTGGCAGCTTGGAGTAGCAGGAGCAGGAAGGGCAGTAGAGGGGTAGCAAAAAGCAGAGGGTAAGTGTCTGCCAGCATATAGGCAGCTGCCCCTCCTTACCCAGAGGGGCCTCCTGGGGGAAGAACCACCTTAAGTAAAACTGTTGAAGGGTTATAGAATGACACTTCAGGCCTGTGTGCTGGATCTGGAACAGGTATTGCATTTAATTTAAATATTGCTGTTCTACTGTTAGGAAATACTGAACCTTTTTTACAAAGTCATTGCTTGCTTGTTAATGAAGACGTAAGGATGACATCTGAAAAAGTTATATCACAGATATTACTGCTTGGGTTAAAAAAGGCCTGTGTGGTTTCTTTGGGTTTTGTTTGTTTTAATGGCATCCAACCGGTCTTTGACTCAATGAAGCTCAATCCTGAACTTCTCCACGTGTTTCCCCATATAGCTCAGCATGTGTATTATGGACACAGCACTGGATTATGGACACTATTGAATAAAAGATTGTTTCAAAGTATATTTGGAACTAATACTTTGAGGCATGTTTATTTTTAAGGGAACTTGAACAATTAGTGGGCTTTGACTAAACCAAAATACTTGTATAATGCTTTTTGCCCCAGTGCTTTCTCTACTAACTACTAAAATGGAACTTGCATACAAATAGAGAAAACAGTAAATATCAGCACTCCTAAAAATGAGTTTCATATAGTATTGCATCATAATAAAAATCATCAAACCTATATGAATTTTCTGGGTTTTGTAGATTTGTCCATTTTACCTGCTGCTGAGAATTCATTTAGGTCCATTGAGACAGTAAGTATGTGCACACACACCTATCACTAGATAAAGTGCTGTTGGAGCTTTTACAGTAGCAGAACAGTACGGTTTGGCCACACAGAAGATGAGAGAGGGCTCAGACTACCCAGTGCAATCTTTAACCATCAGGGGATTCTGGTATTTTTTTACTCCTGCCTCTATGAGAACTTCATTATTGGTTCCATCTCTGGGCCTGCACCGGAGGGTAGATTTGGTGTTGAAAGCTAGGTAATGATGATAAAGCCATCGTTTTATTTACACTGACTTTTAACGGTTTACAGTGTGGATTTTCTCACGGTATGTGAAGGATGTTCATGGCTCTTACACTGTTCCTCTCATTTCTTGACTGAACCCCCTGCAGTCCTTGCTGAGTTCAATGAAACATGCCTGCGAAATCTTAACAAGTGACCCAGAAGGAGGAGCAGCTCGCGTTCCCTTCGAAACATTCGCGTTCCTCTACTCCTATTTGGCCAGTATTGATGGGGAGATACCAGAGGAGAAAACAGAAGCATTCCTCCATGGAATTAAAGAGCAAGCGTGAGTAGAAATCCGTGCATGGAATTGTAATGTCTGGATCACCTTTGGTTTCTCCACAAACCTTTAATTTCAGGTGAATAGTCTATATTCGCTTTGGGTTTAGCCGTAATGACAGGAGTAGAGGTTGACTAAGGTTCTGTTGAAAGTGTACATAGCTATTTTTTGTTAAAAGTGGTCAACGTTGGGGGTTTGAACTGTTAAATGGTGATTATTTACCCATCCTTCTTTGAAATACTGAAGTCACTACCTGGTGGTTATCATTTTCATCGTAGGAAGCAATTATATACAGGTTTGTATCACCTGTGCAGATTGCTGGTACTGGAACCGGCAGCATCTTCTGGGCTGTTCATTTGATGTAACACAGATCAGAAATCAGAAACCGGGAGTTCCCACTTGAAGGCCAGAGCTCCTGTTGTGTTTCACCTGAATTACTGCTCCCTAGACATTTTCTTGAGAAAATATCAAGAAATTTTCAAGGCGCTCACCACATTATTACCCAATATACATATTGGGGTAACATCTGCCCCACCGTTAACCCCCCCGGGCCGCAGGTGGGCACCTGCTCCCCCCTGGACCTCCCTGGCTGCAGGGCCCAGCCTGCCTCACCACGGTCTTCCCCAGGGGCCGCAGGGGAATCTCTGCTCCGGCACCTGGAGCACCTCCTGCCCCTCCTTCTCCGCTGACCTTGGTGTCTGCAGAGTCGTTCCTCTCACATATTCTCTCTCCTGCTGCGATTGCTGTTGTGCAGGAACTATTCCCCTTCTTAACCACGTTACCCCCGGGGAGCTGCCACCACGGCTGATGAACTTGGCCTTGGCCAGCGGCGGGTCCGGCTTGGAGCCGGCTGGCACTGGCTCTGCCGGACGTGGGGGCAGCTTCTGGCACCTTCTCATGTCAACCACCCCTGCATCTCTCCCACTACCAAAACTTGGCCACGTAAACCCAACACACTCTCTTAGATTGCTAACAGCTTTATGTACATGGGAGCTCAGAAATGCACAAACACATAAATGAATCTATTCGGTTTGTCATCACAATTACCAGATTGACAACTTTTAGTAAGAAAGAATCACTTTTTCATAACAGCCCTCTTGCAATTTATGTATCACTCAATTGTATCTTGTCCAACACACTAGGACTTACCATGTTGAAAGTGTTCTAAAACATTTGGTTTGTTCCTTTCCAGTGACAAACAAACTGGCATGGTGCTCCTCAGAAACTTTCTTACACAGCCCTCAACACTGTTTTGATCAAGCCTATTCTTCAGCACCACGGGAGAAAAAAAAGAATAATAAATACTTGCAAGAAAATAATCTGTGTTCCCAGGACCATTATTTGCACGTTATAAAACAAGAAGAGCCTCTTCTCTGGCACATCATTTTCTTTATCCCACTCTTGAAATTGCCCTTCAGTGGATGTTCACTGACTATGTGGTTATACTGCTCTCCTGCCTCTCAAATGCTGATGCTCACACCCAGGGAGCGATGCCTCCACTCATCTGTTTAGATTGAGTAAAAGGTAGGTTGTTACGGATCTTCCTACCTGTACTTCATAAATGGTGACAGGAAGTAAAACACAATGAAATGTAGAGAAGGCTGGACAGCTCTAATTGCTGAATTTCTCATTATGCTTCTGGTAGTACTGACTTTTTTTTTTTTTCCTCTTACACAAATACAGCTTGTCTTTTGCCTACCTTGTCTGCACCAACATGGTCTATTAATAGTTTTACCAAGCCTTACTCAAAAGAACTTCATGAGAAGCTGGTGGCTGAGCTGGTAGGAGAAACACCGACTCAAGAAAGGACTGCACTGGTTCTGTATTGTTTTCACTCCAATTAGGGCCCTTTCAGAACTTGGGTATCTCTCTCCACTCTGACACAGACTTGTCTAAGGATCTGTTTTAAAATACATCTCGTTTTCTGACCAGGAAAGCTACTGCATTTGTCATGCCTGACAGAGTTCAGTTTGGTTTTGAGTTGAACAGCTGTAGTAGTTACAAAGTCTAAATCAACCAGAACTCGACTGAGTGTTCAGTGACAGATAATCACACTTAATCGCAGAAACAGCTGAGGTAGGAGACAGGATACTGGTGGCTACAGTAAAACAGGGGAGGTGCCAGTGACAGGCTGAACCCAGGATCTCCTGGCAACTCGACCAAGCAGAAGGAAGTATTGTAGGAAAGATGGATTTGCAAGCTTGTTTGAGGTAACGAGCTTGGCTGATGATGACTGACCTGGCTGTAGTCGATGGCGTGAGGAATTAACAGGACTAGAAATTGCTGTAATAAAAATCTCACCGAAATGTAGTGGAATCCTCCTGCACACCCTTCCTATGTACCTCTATCACCACTACTGACATGTTGGCCTACAGGAGGGGAACAACTCCTAGTTACTTCTGTAAGGAAATGGGCAAGTACCTGGTGTTTGAAAATGGCAATCAGCAATATTAACAAGTGTCCCTGGTGCCTCCCTGCTAGGTTCTGTGGAGAGCCGCATCCTCATCATCTTTGCCAGACGACATTGATCCTAAATTTCTTTGGGAACAGTAACCTTCCTGCTATTGTCCTTTCACCACCAGCCGCAGCTGAAGGTATTTTAGCCTGTTGGAGAACTCTGCCATCTGCCCTCTCCATGCTGGGACTGGGCAGCAAGCGCTGCCTTTCTGCAACATTGCTCCCAGAGGTGGCACTGTCAAGTGGGAGGGTAGGAGGGGAGCCCTCTTCATGCATTTTCCATTTACAATTGATCCTGGATTCCAAGGATTAGCTGTTCTCTATCCACTAACTCTGGCCCAGGAAGGCGAATTAGTACAGCCTCTCACAGATTTCCTTCTTCAGCCTTGGCAGACTAAACTCAAACAGATGCGAGAGATCAATGTAACTTACAGATTTACAGATTTTCTGCTATATACCACTTCCATCCTGACAAACCTTAAGGCTATTTAATTTCTGCCTCCAAGCACAGCTGTGATGCAACACCAATATTATGTACACGGTGTTACTGTCCCTGGTACAACAGCAGTAATAATAGTTCCTGTGCAGGTAATCTTTTGAACAGCTGACAAACAAAGTAATCAGGTTCTTGTTTCTACTTCCTCCTTTTATGGCTGTGATACTTGTCTTCATCCCTGAAACAAAAACACAAACATTGTGTGGGAAGGGGGAAAAAAAAAAAAAACAAAAACAAAACCAACTTGGAAAATGTTAAGCTCTCATTAAATGTAATCATGTCATCTTCTGAGGAAAGAAAGTAAACTATAAGACTGTTTATTTCCCATGCTCTTTTAATCAAAGCCTTGTCAGGCCATGCCACAGTGGCAATTAGTTTAGGACAAATGGCAATCCTGTGTACTGAGGCCAGTTTTGAGACAAGCAATCATTCCCATCCACGCAGTTACCTACGGCACTTCCCCTACTCGCTCGGGACCAGGCAGCATTTCTTCTGCACAACAGCCCGAGCCTTTGCTCAAACACAGGTCCCACAGATGCAAATGTGTCCTTGCCAATGGTATCAGAAGGTGTGGCCTAGATTTCTTTTCTTTTGCCTAAACGTACGTCCAGAACTCCTGAAAAGCAACAGCGTCGTTCGAAGCGCCTACCGTGAAAAAGCTAGTCAAGCTTTTCTAGGTAGATACATATTATTAGCGAATCAAATAATCCTATTTCAGTCCCAGTGCAAAGCAGAGCACTTAGGTGCTTCCGTGGCCAGCGTGCTCCCCTGTGCCCACGCTGGTGCTGCGGCAGTACGGCGCTAACCCCGCAGCGCGCTGTCGCCTTTCAGGCGCGAAGGTAAATGCTGAAGTCTGGCTCACGGCTTGGGGTCTCGCCGCACGCTCCGTTTAGCATTAGTAGCCTCCTGCCACTGCCTTGTTATACTCCCTCTATGAAGATGAGCCCAGCTTTTTAATTGGACTGGGTATACTAATTCTTTGCACTCAGTTCTCACAGACGGTGGCCACGGCTGCCTGATTCAGAAGCAGGAGTCAGCCGTCACCGTTTATACTCACCTCTCTCTTTTTCTCCGAGAATCTCTGTCTTTGCCTCTTTCGTGACTCCTTTTTCCTTTAGTTGGACTCCTGCTGGTCTCTCTCCTGTGTCTGGTGCGCTCAGTGTCCTTACAGCTCCCTCCAGACTGCCGTGAGTCCACTGAAGCTGAGCGCCTGTCTTCCTTTCTGAAAAAAAGGCTATTGGCTTTTATTCGATAAAAACAGTTTCACTCTTGTTTTCAGGACCAGTTTTGTAACATAATGGACCTACTAATGGTGTAGGAGAGAGGACACGTCTTTTTTAAGCCTCTCTATCTCTCTGAGAAATACAGGTCCTCCCAGGAGCAGCCCGAAGCGTGCACAGCGCAGGATGCTGTTTAATCCAGTTATTTCTTACAAACACTGCCCCTCAGTCCTGCCGCCTCTGCTCACGGAACAGGAGACAGTAGAAGGGGTTCAACTCTGGGTTGCTTTAAATCCCTAACTCTTCCATCTTTAAATCCCTAACTCCTCCATCACCTGGCTTAACCTGCTCCCTGCAGTTGGGGAACCCAGCAAGCCTGATCGCCTGTACGGCCTTCTCACCCACCTTCATTTTAATGCTGAAAGCAAACACCTCCCCTCACCTTTTAGTTCGTTTCAACAACGTTTTAATCTCAGGGATGATCGGAGGAAGCACAGCTAGACTTTCACTAGTAAGAACTGTAAAGGGTCACCGTATCTAGTAAGTTATGAAAACCTTTTCTCTGAGGTGTTTCATATTCTATCTACACCATTGCATGTCCTGGCATGTGGTGGGGAAGGGGAAGGAACTGTGTACTTTAATTTTCAAGTGTCCTTCTGTCCCCAGCTATCACATATACATACACATCTGAACCCAAGGAGCACTAGTTGTTCGCTGGCTCCACCAGAAACTACCTGTTCACCTGCATCACCTGCAGTTTACCTCCTTACGCCTCAAAGCAAGCTAGTGATTCATTTCCCCCCCTCCTTCCTGCAGACAGAGTTTCTCAAGCTTAACAGAATTAGTGTAAAATGAACCATGCAGAGGTCTCAGCCAAGGCTGGTGTACGTCCTTGTAAAAGGGTTAACAGGATAACGCTGCGGGCTGCTGACGTCCGCGAGGAATTTCCCAACCGTGACACACCTTCCAGAAGATTTTGACCTCCCTCCTTCACACATCTCTGCATTCTCCAACCTGTTCTCCTCCTGCCAGTGGTTGCTGAGTTCTTCCATATGCACACCAATCACATCCCGGATCACCTGGAGAGCAAGACACATTAAAAACGAGCAACGGGAAAAGCAGAATGTCATGGTAGTGGCCTTAACCAGCAACCAGACGGCAGAAGGTAAACGTTTAAAAAAAAAAAATTCCCCCCCCCCCCCCCCCCCAGCCCTATATATCAGATGTTTGAATGGAAAGTCTTATTTGCAGAAACAGGTACTTCAGCATAAATTTAAACAGCACCATTTTACAATAGACAGTCAATGGTACCTTGCTGGCATTTTCCAATTCAAAATGTAATAGCCAGAAACACTCCTTTTATTTGTAACTTGCTGCAACAAACAAAATATTCCTCTGTAGTTTGCAACTCTAATAAAGCAGGGCACAAGAAGCAGAGGAGAGAAGAGTTTCTGTGTCTGAAAGGGTCTGTCATTGCTTACGGTGATACACGATACGCGCTTTTGTGCAAAAAACTCGATTTGCAGATCTCACCTCAGTGTAGGACTTCTTTGTTATATGAACATTCTTAGCCCTGTATGACTGCCGCCGCCTTTTGTAGTCTCGCATTTCAGCCAGAATTTCAAGATGGGACTTTGGACCTTTCTGACTGTCATCTAGCAAAAAATTGGAAGTGAAACAAACTGTCACGAGCGGGACATTAGCACCTGCGGGTACGCAAGTCTGGTGCTCTAATAAGAAAAGTCTGAAACATAAAAGGTTTTGTGCTCTTTCTGAAGCTTCTCCAGTATTCAGTAACTATTACGAATTTAGCACAGCCTTCCTCTCCAGCCTCCTTGCTAGCTGTTTGTTTACACGAGACTAGAAAGCCACCAAGCAAATGTTGCTACGTGATCTCGGGCTGCTAAAAGTGATCCAGATCAATATCCGGGCTTGTGATTTGGTCAGGTGCCTTCAAAATACAGGCCACGTTTTCAAAGCCAGTATTACAGTGAGACATGAGGAATGAAAAAGCCAGGTTCTGTAAAGCATTTACCTCTGTAGGTGACAAACACTATCCTCCTACCTCCTAGGCACAGCAGTGCCCACAGGGTAACACAGCGGCTTACGCTGCGCTTGGTATAGTTAGAAACTGGCACAACTCAACGGGGGGGGGGGGGGGAGGCCTCGGTCCAAAACACTCATTTGTATTTTGCCCAAGAGCTCCCTCGGACGGCTGCCAACCCTCCTTGTTCCGCTTTCAGTCTTAAGTGATCTTTGATCTCATCATCTCTCACAGCAAAGCGCTGTGCCAAGCTGCGCAGGAAGCTGGCAGCGGCGTGCAACCTGAAGGCAGTTGCAGCAGAGACAAAAGAGCCATCAAGATACACCCGATGCGTGTGCCAAGAGCAGAGCACGGAGGTTTTCTCAGAAGGAAATATCATAAAGGATAGCAAACTAGTGTTTTCTGATGCCAGGTCCTCGTTGTGGCTTTTAAGAGCAGTTTGCTTTTCACAATGAAAACAGCACAAGCAGTTCTGTTTGGCTTTCAACAAAAATCATCCAGCTAGACAAAGCAAAAGTTCTGAGCCATAAATTAAAACAATAGATCGTTCTTCAAACCTTGGGTGATTTTTGCTGCTAAATCCACAAAGAGATCACTGTCATTTTCCGTTATTTGGGATCTAGACCTCTGTTTCTTTGTTTCCTCAACAACATAATCATAAAGAGCAAGGCGATCAGCTTGAGTCAGGTCACAGGTGAAACGTTTGTGATTTTGAGGAACTTCTACGGGCAGCAGTGAGTAAGACCCTGGAGGTTGAACAGAGAGCTGTTATTAGTAAAACAGCATAATTATCCAGGAAAACGTCGAGAAGCTCAACAAACACACACTGCAGTAAATACCCATGCGGGTTTTATCCTTTAAGAAGTTTTATCCCTCGTAATTTGAGAGGATAAAAATTGCTTAATGAAAAAAAAAAAAAAAAAAAAGAAGAGGCCCAAATCCCTCCCCAGCCCCACGGAGGCTGTATAACCTCTCTCTGCTGCTTACACTGGGAGTTACGGATTCTCACATGCTTTGAAGGGATCTTACTGGATTAGATCAAAAGGACACTCTGTATCGTCGCATCAGTTTCAGCTCTTGGCTTACAAACTAAAGCAAGAGAGAGGAGACTGCTGCTCTGACTTGTGGGTTTGTCTTACTCCTAGAATTTTCTGTAAAGTACTAGCTGCAAAACACCTGTATTTCTGCCAACAAGGAAAGCTTCTAGACTAGATGACTGGGCACGGTGCAAATCAGTCCCCCTCACACTATCACTTTCTCTACAGAGCTTTTGTGATAGACTGCCACAGGCATCTGTAGCTGAAAGGGCTACAGAGGCACTTTCAAATGCTCCAGATGATTAGTTCAGATAACCAACTTTCAAGTTATGAAATCAAACATGTTGCCTGCACACTCTTCTTTCCCTGAATGATCGGCCCGGTACTCACTCTTCCCATTCCCCGGTTAAAAGCGCGTATCCTCCACACAAAAAAAAAAGAAATTCATTCTCAGTCCATTGCAACAGCAGCAAAGTGACTTCCCTAAAGACACAGGATGCAGAATTCTAGGATACTGCCTGCAGAAAAGCATTTTACTCGAGCATTTACTGCAACCTTCTCCCTGCAGGGCACAAGCCCACACAGACACACGTCTCCAGGCAGAGACATAAAACGGGGCGTTCGCAGGAACCTCCACAACAGCAAAGCTACAGCTTCTCTAGGTTATTCAGCACTTAATGGAAGCTGGGCAACCCTTCACATCCTGCTTTCACTGAAGACACCAAAGAAGAGGAAGACGAGCCACAGTATCTCTACGGCAGCAAACCTCGAATTCAAGATTTCCTCGTTACTGTACTTGGAGCCTAAGTCAGAACTTTTCTAATCTGAACTAACAGACTGAAACATGAACACTAGAATTTTCTTTTTAAAATGCACCGTTCTTACAGGGTCACAGAGGCCCATAAAAGTGTCCTAATAGTTACGTGCTTGTGATTTTACAAGAATTTCACAACTTGTGATTTAGACCATCTTTCCTGTCCTGTTACGTAGCTCTTCTAATATCCTAAACAAGGTTAGAACTTTTTTCAAAACAAAGAGAGAAAATGACTTCATTTGATAGCTAGTCAAAAGGAAATTTACAATGAAAAACGCTTTCCATTTGTTTCTGCTGCCAAAGACTTTAAATTCAACAAACAATTCCAAGACAATAGGCCAAGATGCCACAATGAAGACCACCCCCAATACAGTTTTAGCGTTCTCTTCAGAGAAATTAAAGCTTGCTTTGGAAACTGGAGAGCAAACACTGGCATCTAGTGGCTCACTGATGCCTCTTGGTGCTGCACCACCTGATAAAAGGTTTATCTGTTTCTTCTCTGCTTGGATGTGCTTGTGTCAAATGAGTGCGCTGACACTGCCCTCCAGAGGAAATGCACCCGCCGTGCTCCACACACAGTGCCCGCCCCACGAAAGCTCCTTCCCAAGCAACCGGCTGTTAGGGCTCCGTTTGCGACGCCGGAGAAACAAAGGCGACTTGAAAAACTATGCCTGAGCAAGCCCCAAGGAAACGAGAACAAATGCACTTTTCCTTCTGCACGTCTATGTTTGCCAAACTAAAAGGCTACAAACAGTAAATGCCGTATCTTTCAGGTGTTGCAATAATTCTGAAACCACGCGCTGCAGCTCTACAATCGTTTCTGTAGGTAGCCCTACTTTTCTACTCTGTCTTGATCCGAACTCTTAAAGAGAAGCATAGCTCAGTCTTAAGCTGGTCCCCAGACTGGTCACAAAACCCACTGAAAGATGAAACATGAAGGAACTAAGGAGCTGAGAACAGCGGCAATGGACAACATGTTTGCAGATGTATCATCGTATATTTCTTATACAACTTCTTAGGACAGTCTCAAAACAATCCAACATAGTAATATGCAGGTTGTTTGGTTTCTGGTCTGAGGAGTGGTGATAAGCATACAGAGCTCAAGTCCAGCAATTAATCTTTAAACAAAACATTAAATGAAGAACCATTACATGAAGAACACAGCTGGAGGCAGCACTAGAAGAGTTTGGGCCACAAAGAGCAGAAGGATGATACCAGAAAACAGAGGCAGAAAGTAAAGTGTAGCTAGTAAGATGGGAAGCGAAGGACTACTGCTATAAGACCCTCCTGAGTTTTGCCGTGTTGATTCTCCACTCCTGAAGAGGACTAGAGGTGTCAGCACAACAGACTCAAATTCTCTTGTCTTGTTGCCCCGAGTAGAGAAAGTACTTATGCTCCAAAATACACATGGGAAGGTATATTAAAAGCAAGAAAACCTCCTCACAGCAGTTCACAAGTGGAACGAAGGAAACTGTGCGGGGGGAGATAAGAGCAGCTCTCCACGGGAGCTGACGAAGTCACCCCAGAACCTGCTTGCTACTTACCTTCGCTGCAGCCCGTACCTTCTTTTGCGCTTTGAGCTCTAGCTTGCTTAACAATGTGAAACTGTAGATCTTTATCTACAGACAGAGAAATCAGAAACATCACAGAACTTTTACGTCAAGTACTTGGCAGGGCTAGTTTTTGTTCTCCAACCTCTATTATGAGACTTACGGTATGTTACAGAACACTGTAGTTTTATTTATGCACAGGGGAAGGTCCGGACTAAAACTATCATTTTAATCTATTCTGTATTTGAACTGAGGGGAGAAGATAAAAAAAAAAAAAAAAAAAAGGATTTCTGGGTTCCAGGGATATGGAAAAAGAAATATATGTATATTGCAACTCTATTCTGTATTATTACTATATCCCCAAATGTAAAGGCCAGTTTTTCCACTGTCTAAGCACGTGTTTTAATACACTTTCTGCACTTGATGCAAGGAGAGCATAGGAAGAACCTGAAAAATAACTTAAGACAAAAAAAAAAAAAAAATCTTCCTTGGATTTGAAGGTGAAAACAGCCAAGTGACCTACAGAGCAGGATCACCCAGTGACAGAAGCATAACGAGGGTAAAATAAGGCACAGTACAATGGTGAGAAAATAAACCTGCTGGTGGACACACTGAGGTTTTTTAGGAGGCTCTGGAGAGTTTACGGCTGACAAGGCAGTGGGGTGCGCTACCGTGGGGACCCAGACTCTGCCCCGGGGGGTCTCCCCCCAGCCCCTCATCCTCTGTCCCCCCCCCCGGGACCTCCCCTCAGCCCCATCCCCTGCCCCCCCCCAGACATCTCCCCTCAGCCCCTCATCCTCTGCCCCCCCCCAGACATCTCCCCCCAGCCCCTCATCCTCTGCCCCCCCCCGGGACCTCCCCTCAGCCCTATCCTCTGTGTCCCCCCAGACATCTCCCCTCAGCCCTATCCCCTGCCCCCCCCAGACATCTCCCCTCAGCCCCTTATCCTCTGCCCCCCCCCCCGCGACCTCCCCTCAGCCCTATCCCCTGTCCCCCCCCAGACATCTCCCCTCAGCCCCTCATCCTCTGTCCCCCCCCAGACATCTCCCCTCAGCCCCTCATCCTCTGTCCCCCCCAGACATCTCCCCTCAGCCCTATCCCCTGCCCCCCCCCAGACATCTCCCCTCAGCCCCTCATCCTCTGTCCCCCCCCAGACATCTCCCCTCAGCCCCTCATCCTCTGTCCCCCCCCCCCCGCCTCAGATGCCCCCCCCCCCCCCCCGCCCCGCCCCCCCGAAGAGGGGGGCGAACAGCCCCGCCAGGCAAAGCCCCCGCTGCCGCTCACCCATGGCGACGGTGGGAACCTTGAGGTTTTCGTAGAAAAAGCTGGAGTCGTACATCTCGGCCTGTCGGGGCCAAGCGGCTCGGTCAAGGCCCCGGCGCCGCCCCCAGCCGCACCGGCCCCGGGTCGGCCGCCGAGCCGCCCCCGGCCAGCGGCGACCCCCGGGGCAGTCGCGCCAGCCCCCCCCCCCCCCCCCCGCCCCGCCGCCCACCTCCTCCTCGGCCGAGTAGCCCATCTTGCGGAGCCGGCAGGACGCGGCGTGTCTGTCCAGCGACGCCCGGGGGACGCGGTGATGGGCGTCGTAGGGGCACGGCACCCGCTGCACCTAGCCGACGGGGGACACGGGTCAGCGCCCACCGCCGCCCCTGTGTCCCCCCCCCCCCCCCCCCCCCCCCCCCCCCCCCCCCGCCCCCGCCGCCGTACCGGGTCCGCCAGCCACACCGCGCCGGGACCCGCCATCGCCGCGCGGCCCGCGCCACGTGACCGGCGGGGGCGGCGCCATGTTTACTGCGGGCGCTCCCCTGCCATAGAGCGTGCGGCGGGGCTGCGTCTTGCCCGTTTCCAGTGGCGGGGCGGGGAAAGGAAGGTTTGGCGGGGGGGGCACGCTGCCGGACGGCAGCCCCGTCCCTCCCTAACGCGGGGAAGGATCGCGACGGCCCCGGCGCGGCGGGGGGAAACCCGGGGAAGAGCCGGAGCGGGGCGGGATGCAGTACTTCCGGGCGGGCGGCAGGGCGAGGAGAGGGCCGCCGCCTACCGGCCGGAGGGGGCAGCGGCGGCCTCAGGTCGCGCCCGAAATGGCGGGCGGGGGGGCCCAGCCGCGGGTCGGAGCGGGGACGGTCCCCTCCTCCCGCCTCTCTCCCCGGCACCGCGCCCGCGGAGGGGTCGGGGGGTGCGGGTGGGTGTGGGTGTGGGTGTGGGGGAGTGGAGCTGCGTGGCCGCGGCGTTCCCCGCGGAGTCCTGCCCTCCCCACCTTGGGGGGGGGGGGGGGGGGGGGGGGGTTCGGCCTCAGTGGGACTGGAACGCGGGATGAGGAAAGAACCGTCCTGAGGCGTAAATTCTCACACGGGTGACATTTGCGCTTGGCTATTTTTGTCATCTACGAGAAGAGGACAGATGACGAAGGTTTAAGAGCGGGCTTCAGGAGGCGGGGCGGGGGGCAGGCGGCAAGACAGATGGAGCTGCCGGAATGACTGTCCTGCAGCTGCTCTCGTTAGCAGATTACAGCCCTTTCTCTCCTGCACAGTGAATTTGAGGCTCAGCTGGGATTTTAGCCCTTTGAGGGATTTTTCCCCTCTCTTGCTACGTTTGCCTGAGCGTCTCTGACTTTGCACGGTACAGAATACTCCCAGCGAAGTCCTGCCAGCTGCCCCCGCGGTTCTGTCGGTGCTGTTCCAGAGCCCGCTCGCTAACCCTGGCACATTTTATCGAAAGAGCAGGAAGAACGGCTGGGCAAAATTGTCGTGACCATCTCCACTAGTAAAACACCACTCCTTCAAAATTTCAAAAGTCAAGTTTCACAAATTATCCAAACAGGTTTGGCTTAGTTTTGGTTTTTTTTTTTTTTTTTTTTTTTTGTTAAGTAAACAACATTTTGATTTTGTTTGCTTATAAATTAAATTGATAGTTATGATCAGAATAGATGTTTTGCTCTGCTAAACAACATTTTGAATGAATCAAAATTACCTTCAGGGTTTATTTCCCTTTAAAAAAACATTTCTGGGATCATGAAACAAAAGATACTGGGGTTTTTTTGTTTGTTTGTGGGGTTTTTTTGTTTGGTTGGTTTTTTTGGTTGGTTGTTTTTTTTTTTTTTTGGTTTGTTGGTTGGGTTTTTTTTTTTTGGTTGGTTGGTTGGTTTTTTTTTTTTTTGGTTGGTTGTTTTTTTTCCCCCTGGCCCTTATGGATTTGGGGAAACGCCTGCAAAACAAACCACTGGGTTGAATGTTTTCCTTTGCTGGGGCTCTGGGAGAAGCCTCTGTCGTGCGATACAGCACATCAGTTAGGAGGCAGCTCGTGCTAGGAAGTCTGTCCTCCTCCCAACGTCCAGGTAACACTACAACTCGCCCACGCTGGGAAGCAGAGACCTGTCCTGACTAATCAAAACACGGGTGCCACGCGGAGAGCGAGTGCTCAGCAGGTAGTGTCTGGGACCCAGAGACGCGCCCACAGGGCTTGGGCTCTGGAGAGGATCAGAAACCCTCCTCAGGGTCTGGAAAACTGTCTCACAGACGCGTTAGCACGGACCACAGCGCGGCCTGCAACAGCACAGGGCTAAGATTAAGCCTCTGAAATAGGTTTTTTACAAGAAAATCAAGGGCAGCGCACCGAGATGCTAGGAAGCAGGGTAAGAGCGATCCGTGAGCCGCTTTGCCACTATGTATTCTGGCTGCAAACTTTCCAGGAGCAAACTGACTGATGGGAGACAAAGGCCAGCGTCTCACGAAAGCTGACAGCGCCTCTTTACCTTCCAGGCAGAGGTCAGGCTTACCTTGCTTCCCCCGTCAGATCGGGATTCCCACAGACTTTCATCTTTCCCAGCTGGCTGTCTCCAGCCCGTGGCAACACCCGCTTCTGCACCCCAGCCCCGTGGGGGCTGCAACCCGACAACGTGGTGACTTTGTCAGCAAGCAACGTGGTTAATAACGCACCCCCGAGTTCCACACACCTCCGTCTCCGCGGTCCCTTCTGAAGAGGAGAGGGGAAACTCCCGAGCTGCCTTTCCCCGGGCAGGACTGCCGCCCGGCTGCAGCTACATCAGTGGGGCCAGGCCCCTTTGCTGGGCTGCAGTGCTGAGCGTGCCGGCGGTGTGGTGTTTCTCTAGAGGCTCTTTTCCAGCCAGTACTGATCCCTGAAGAAAGTCTCTGCGGGAACCAGCCCCAAATATCCTCAGTGCAGCAGAACAGCCCTAAACTGCGGGATAAGCAGAAGGTACAACAGGGGAATAGCATAGATGTTACGCCAACACGAAGACCACACAGCGCTCCTGGAGAACTCGAACGTGCCACCTTGCGTCCTCCTCCAGATGGAATTTATACTGCTCGATAAGCCAGATGTTGGCACGCTGGGGACCATCTACTTTAGGACCATACCCTGAGGCGGGAACCTTCACACAGGTTCCGTGGTCCCAACAAAGTCACTCGGTACCCCCCTAGAGTGCCAGGCTGAAATCACACTGCTCTTATGGTCCAAACCTTTCTGACCGGTATCCACCAGGAGTGGGGGGCTCACCGTGAGCAACAACACCCTGCCCCACAGGGGTCACACCAGGAAGAGCAACCCTCGCCCACGGCTTGTATTTGTTTTTTCCCTCACTGATAACCAAACCTTTCAGGCTTTCTGCAGCCACTTACCTATTCAGTAGTATATTGACTCCTTGAATAAAATGATTTTTTCTCCAGTGTGGAAGAGAGGACAGTTTTTGTATTTAGCATTCCTTCTCTTCCTTAGATACAAAACATTACTTAGAGTTGTACTGCACTCACCATTCCTCCTGGAAATGAGGAAAAAAAAAAGTGAAAGCTCAAATTATTAGTTCTTTTAAACACGCTTCTGGTAAAGATAAATAAAATAAGCTTTGTAACAGCTTTCTCGGGCCTTACCGCGTTCGGCATGCACATTTCTGGATGAGGAAAGGGCCAAGGAGCAGGGGAAACTCAAGCCGAAGGACAAAAAAAAAAAAAAGAAACTTCTCGGGTCTACCCAAAAAGCCAAAATGGAAGCAGCCTGGCTTATGGCCCCAGACAGCCCACGCAGGCAGGGCAGACGGCTTTCAGCCTGCAGCTGTGGCAGATTCTTGCTGGGCTCTACCCCAGCGTCTTTGGCAAAGTTGCAACCGAGTTCTCTGCATCTAACCCAGCAAAGGGCACAGAGCAAGCAGCCGGTGCCTGGCAGACCACGCTCCGTCCCGCAGCGGGGGGTTACTCCCCCAGGACACGCGTCGTGCAGGAACCACCTCATCCCGAGTCAGGGCTTAAACTGCAACCGCTTCGCTAGCACTCACCCGCTGCGCCTCAGCAACAGGGGATATTGAACAGGGAGGCGGGGGGCTCGCGGCACCCCCGTGGTAAAATTGATTGTACTCGTCTCCGAGCTGCTCTGCCTTTGTAGTGGTGCTGCCTCTTCTCCCTTGCCCCTGGGGCCCACGCGCCAAACTCGTTTTCTGCAGGGAAGGAGATGTGGTATCCAGGCCGATAGCCTGGGCATCGCTCGGCAAAAGTTACCGAACTGGAGAGAGATTTTGTAAAGACGAAGCACACGGGCACTCGCATTTCCATTTTTTGCCACTGCTGCTATTACTTGCTGCTATCTTAGGCTGCAGCTAAGACGCCACACTCAAAACCTGTAGCACCGAGTCAGCTTCGTTATCTACAGGGACACGAGGTGAATTTCTCTAGCGCACGGGAATCAATTTCTAGAAGTATTCTTCATGGTACAGGCAGATTTTTAAAAACTCCCTTCACCAGAGCCCTGGCCAGAGTTTAATTCTCAGCGCTTTCTCCCCGATGTCTAGTTTTGTTGCCCTTCCAGCTCGTCCCAAAGCACCCGCTGTGGAGCAGTACAGCTGCGGATGGTGACCGCTCAGACCTCACTGGTTCCTCTGCTAGGGGGAACGCAGCGGGTGTATCCCTTCCTTCACCTGTGTGCCGCTCCGAGCCCGCTGCAAGCCCTTGGCTCCTGCAGCTGGATCCTTATTATTCCGTGGTTTAGTCCACAATTACAGCCCAAGGTGTATTTTACAAGCTGCGGTGCGCTGGACACTTCCAAATTGGTTTACTGGCAGCAGCTCTAGCATCTGTTAATGCCTTATTGATTCCTCTTTCTGTATCTCCGTGTGATCCCTGATGGATTCATCAGAATTAGATCAGTTTTATCAGATTGCTATCATCCTTATCTTTAAGGATAAAGCCCTCGAAAGTTTGGTGTTGCTCTCAGGTACCAGATTTTATGCAAGCTCCAAAGCCATCTGTGCCTAAACGTGGTGGTTGTGGTTTGAGCCCAGAGGGCAACTGAGCACCAAGCAGCTGCTCGCTCGCTCACTCCTCAGGGATGGGGAGGAGAAAATAAAACAAAAGATTCGGGATTGAGACAAGGACAGGGAGGATGACTAACCCATTATGGCCATGGGCAAAAGACAGACAGAATTCACCATTAAGCGCCCAGAAGTGAATTGAATGCCCTTTTGCACGATGAATTTTTAAGATGTGTGTTTCTGAACTTGCGTGGGGTTTTCTGCTTAAGCCCTACCAGCACCTTCACAGGTGCTGCGCCGAGATCCACGATCCTCTGCCTTGTACCCTCTGCCTTTCCTTTGCTCTGAGCTTTCCGACCGGGCAGTACTTGCCGCCTGCTCCAGAAATCAGTATAAACGCCCCCGCAGGCGCTCTGGATTGCACGTAGCCTCAGAGGCACCAGGAGGGGTGCGAGGGAGGCTGGAGCAGGGCTTGCTGTGTCCGTGTCATAAACCGGGATTTGAGGTGAAGGCGCTGGATGTTTTCGTTGGAAGTGGTCGCTTACCAGTGCTGCTTCTCTGGGAGGGCCTGAGAGCAGGGTCTGAGTGGGCAGAGGACAGCCGAGGCGCAGTAACCCGCAGCCACCTCCACAAATACATGCTTTACTGCCTCTGCTTTGTTTGCCACGGCGACAGGTCCCCACCCCGAGCAAGAGCTAATGAGTTAAATACTGATTTGTTACCTGGCTGAAAGCCCTCACCCAACTTC